GGATGGAGAGAGATAGGTCCAAGGATACAAAGTAGCAAATGTGTAGGATAAACAAGTCAAAAGGCCTAATTTACAACATGAGGACTACAGTTAATAATAGTGTATTGTATACGTGATTTTTGCTAAATGAGTAGATTATAGCTGCTCTTGCCAAAGGGGGGAAAATGGGTACTATGTGAGATGATGGGTATGTTAATTTGTTCCATTGTAGTAATCGTTTTACTATATATATGTATATTATAACATCATGTTGTATACCTTAAATATACACAGTAAAATTTATTTTAAAAAAATTCCAAAGCTCCAGTGCCTTTTGAATCACCTACCACTGTTGTATCATCTATATTATTCACTGTTTTCCCTTTTTAGTGGGGGGACTATCTCAAGCTGACTTTTCATCTAGTCACAAAGATCTAAAGAGATGGCTCTCTGACCATATTTAAGGAAGCATCAGGAAATGTCAGCAAGTTTGACCAATGATGTAAATTGACTTACTTTGACTCTTTTTCACTCATGTCCACGTCATCATAGATAACAACTTCCTGAGACCTAAGTTCTAGAGTCAAAATAGGATCAAAATAGTCCATTATTAGGTATATAGTCCCCACTATCCAAATTATACACAAATTACCTCATTATCCAGGTGTATCCCCAAGCCTGTTTTATCAAAATCTGATCACAGAACACAGACAGGCTGGAAGAATCAAAGAACAAAAAGATTCTCCATTTGGGAAAGAATCAACTGAGGGATTAAAATAATGAGATGCCCTAGTATCTCAAACACATGTGTATTTATATCAATTTGATTTCATGCAGAGCTCCAGAAAAATATGAGTTGCTGAATCATTTTTAGACTAGGTTCCCATCTTTCTGGAATTAGACAAAGATGTTATACTGCTAGAACAGTGAGAGGACTTTTTAAATTTCTGGGGTATGGGGGAACAGTTTAATAGAAAATTAATGTTAATTTTTTTTCATGATTTTTATTTCAAACCATTGGCAACTGCTCCTTTATAATAATTTTGCGTGACATTGAATCTTGGTGCATAATCATAATTAGACATTTTCCGTTTAGGATATTCACATTTCTTGGTTCTCTACATAGAATTCCATGATTTTCAGGTGGCTCACCATGTGAACAAGTTTGAGAGCTTCTGGCATAATTATTCATAATTCATATTCAATTATTCATAATTATTCATCTCTTTAATCATTTTCTTCAATACTTTTAAATGGGGGGTGGGTATGATGCATGCCTATTTTAAGTTGGCTTTGTTTTTTTAAACACAGACCAAGGATTTGTTGGGAGACCTGTGATTTTACCAGGTATACATAATCTTCATGTTATTCAGTTCAGCACACCCCATATTCATGGAATATAATATACACTTGAATTACTGAGTTAGAATGAAATCAAAGTAGCCACACGGCTAGAGCCCATAGACAAAAGCCAACAAACAGCAAAAATACCTGGCCTCCTTTTATTGACAAATTCAATGAACTGATCATGTACTGAGAATGTACTGTGCTAATTTATGCACTATTGTTTTAATGGAAAAGGAAATAACATTCCAGTGACCCCTCCTTGGTTTAATTGGTGTGAATGTGGCAATGTGATCAAAGTCAACTTACTGTGTCTTAATTAGTGTGATCTGTCAAATCCTTCAAGAGGTTTTGTAGTATAATGCAAAAGGCATAAGTTTCATAGTCAGACAGACTTGGGTACAAATCCCAGATCATTCAAGTATGTTGGGGGGTCCCAGAACCTCTCTAAAAAGGGATAATAACATCTATTTTTCTGGGATTTTAAAAGGAAAGTATCTACCTTAGGGTCTGGTATATAGCAGGTACTTGAGAAAAGTTACTCATCTTCCCCAAAGAAACAACTGTTGTATAAGATAACTTCTCTAATTTTGACAAATCAATTTTTCATTGATGTGGGAATGCAGGAAGGATTACCATTTCTCTTTTCCTGCCCCTGAATATATCAATGCTAAGTACTTTTGGTCAGCAATAAGCAAATGTTACTTACCTAAATCAGGCAGTGAAATGGAAAATGCACTGTTGATTGAGAAAACACAAAAAAGGTTTAAGGAAAAAGACATCCAGAAAGATTAGGTGATACATCTCAAATAACATTAGATGACTAAGTGTCTTAATGCAGATGCTTCTAGGCAAAGATGTGAAGAAAACCTCTGGCAGCTTTGTTCTGATCACCCCTCCCCCACAACCTTTTTAAAATGAGCTTATTTATCGCCAGTGATTGCCTATACCCCATTTCCTAACTTGACAATCTCAGGCTGCTCCATAGCCCTGCCTTCTCCATCCACATCCTATTTCTGCCCTCTAACCTTCCAGGATGCTAATCAGATACATCCAATGTGGGGTAAGTATTGGTGACAGAGAACAACCTACAGATGAGTTAATAGGAATTCTGCAGACATGGCACTCTGCCTGTATCATTTAAGCCAAAGGGTGACTTAAGAGGAGAATTCCAGGCCAGGTAGAAATGTAAGAAGGAGGATTACTAAGAGGGAGAAGATATTGGGCCCAGCTAGATTGTTTGGTGCTCCTCAAATCTCACAGTTAAGGAGATTACATGAAAGGAAATATGATGTAGTAGAAAAAACATTCACGTATTTTAAGCATTTACTTTAAATTCAGCCCTACAGATATTTTTGCAACACTAACCATGGGCCAGGCCCATTTGCTGGGTATAAAATAACTAGACACAGTTCCAGTCCTGAAGTAGCTCAGGGTTTAGTGAGAGTGACCAAAAATAAATTAATACAACGTGCTGTGATAAGAATGTAATGAAGGAATGTATAAAGGAACAGCGCATTAGGGAAAATCTGTTAATGTTTATGTAAGCCTCAGTTTCTTCATTTCTAAAACAAATACCAACACTATGTTTTAGAGTTGTGTTAAGATTGGATGAGCATACCCAAGTGACTGTGCCTGGGACAGAGATGATGCTTGGTGATCTCTGCCCTTACTATCTGAAAGACCAGACTGGATGCTATCAGGACTGTGATATGCAGAACAGCCCAGAAGAAACATGTAGTCACTGGAGTCAGTCAGATGAATTTGACACTCAGTTCTGCCGCTTACCTGCTATATGACCCTGTGTCACATACATTTTTAAAGCCTATATTTTTCATCTGTAAAATGTAGAAACAAGTTTTCACCCCAGTGGGTTACCGTGGAAATCAGAGACAACACATGTGAAGCACTTAGCATACTCCCTGCCTCAGTGCCCAGTTAGCACATATCCTTGGAATTGCTGCTTAGGGGTCACTTGCCCAAGGAAGCCTTTCTTAACACCCGTGCCCTTTCTCCATTCTAATTGGGTTGGGGTCCTGGTAGCTCCTGTTTAAACATAGAAATAGAGGCCACAGAAATATCTCAAATGATGTTTCCTTCCTCTAGGTCATTTATTCATTCAACACATCTTTACTGAGTGTTGATTATGTCCCAAGCACTGTTCTATGTGCTGGAGATACAGTAGTGGGCAAAACAGTAGAAATCCCTGCCCTTGTGGGTTCTAGTTGAGTGAGGCAGACAGAAAACAAAAAAGGAAATTTATGTCATAACATCAAATTTATGTTATGTCATATAAGGAAATATAGGGTGCTAAGTGCCATGGAGCAGGGCAAGGGGGATGGGGGGGCTGGAGGCGAGAGTTGGTTTGCCATTTTACAGAAGATGGTCAGGGAGCTTTGCTGATAAGGTCACTTTGGAGCAGAGGCCTGAAGGTAGTGACGGAATGAGCCACATAGATATCCGGGGTAACAGTGTTCCCGGGAGAGGAACTAGCAAATGCAGAGACTCACAGGCTGGACTGTGCTTGGCCTGTTTAAAGAAGAGCAAAGAGGTCAGTGCATCTGGAAGAGAGGGAGTGAGAAGGCGTTTAACATGTAATTCCCAGGTAAAACTATAGCATAGCTAAAACCAGTGGCATTTTATGCTTGGTTTCTTTATGTCTAAATCAGGCCATTTAATGACTATATCAATAGGCAGTAATATGTGTGTACTGGGGGGAGGGGAGCGGAGTGCATGTGTGTGTGAGAGAGAGGACTGAGACCTCTTACTCTTCTTCAACATCACATTTTTAAGGCTGCAGCCTCCTTCTTTAGTTAGATAGGACAATAAACGAGTTGGTGTTCAAAAGAGGAGTCCTCAGTCTTCAAAAGGCAACAAATTAGTTAAGACGCTGTTATCTTGGTCTATTTACATGCTCTTAATTGAAACATTAAGGTAGGGAGGCAGATTTCGGCAAAATCTAAGGGAAAAAATTTTAATAGAGCTTCCTAAAAATAGAAGATCCTTCTCTGCAGGTAGTGAATTTCTCTTTCATAGAGGTGTGCCAGCAGAGATTGGGTTTGTTAGTAAATTTGCAGAGAAGCTTATATAGTGGGTTGGACTAGGTAGTATGGGTTTCCCTCCTTATCCTGAGAGTTCTTTGACTCTAAGAGTTTCTCAATAATATTAATAGATGTCACAAGACACACACAGGATGTTATGGGAACACAGAGGAGAGATTGATTATCCAAGTTTAGGCAGACAAGTTCAGGAAAGGAGTCCTAGAAGAAATAATATTTGACCAAATTTTGAGGGAAAACTAGAACTTTGATCAAAGAAGGTCAGAGGAGGGCAAGTGCATTCCAGACGAAGGGAATGCCGTGGTCAAAGCAAGGAGGCAGGAGACACCACGGCAGAGGCTTTGATCTGTAGGGCATGTGTATGGGGTGATGGTGAGAGTAAATTTTAGTGCAAGATGGAACTAGAGAAGTAGAAATGGGGCAGCCATGAAAGCATTTCCTTGTCATGGAAAGGGATTGGATATTTGTTCTAAAAGTCATAAGAAGTCATAGAATCGTTTTGAAAGAGAAGAAATCAGACTTGCATTTTAAAAACATCAGCATTCTCACCTGAATCAAACAGCTAAGAAACTGTAGGTTATCATGCCAATATTTTGTCAAAAAGCTAAGGCCAGGGTCTGCCTTTGTGCACAAGGTCTCACTGACCACAGGAGGGAAACTCCCTCTTCTTCCACAGTCAGGATAACAATTTATAAACCCCATGTTCTGTTGGATCTCTTGGTAGATCTAGATACAACAGACAATTGGACTTAAAATTACATTTTAAAAAAAAATTTTTGGCAGCTGGCCAGTATGGGGATCCAAACCCTGACCTTGGGGTTATAAGGCTGAACTCTAACCAACTAAGCTAACCAGCCAGCAGGACTTAAAATTATAAAACTTTGAAGCTTTATAATTGAAAAGAACTCCAGGGTAGAATAACGTAATTCCATCTCAATATACGTAGTGACTTTGGGCAAATTATTTTACCATCCCTTGCCCTCACAAAATACAGGTTTATATCTGTGTATCTATATATCCATATGTATATGTGTCTATTAGGGAGAGAAGTATCTCCAGAGACTACCCAGTCCCCCTTCCATTGTATACAGGAAGCAACTGGGACCCTCTAGGTGCAAAAAGGGAGTGATTTGCCCATGGTTACGCACTGAATAAATGGCAGAATTGAAACTAGAATCTAGAATCCAGCCTTCCCCTCCCCCCTTCCCCCACCTCTTTCCATTGCCCTTGAATTTGGTACCTCCACAAAGACTGGCAGTTAGTCTAGGTATTTTGAAGGGTCCTTTCCAGGTCTAAGACTTTGAGATACACAAACTATTCAGCTGCACAGTTCATCTCCCCTCTCCATACATCACTGCTCTCCAAGGAGACAAAATATGAAAATGTAGAAAAATAAAACCGCTGGAACTTGTAGGGCCAAGAAAGCATAAAAGGACATAATTAACAACAATGCTTAGTGTTAACAATAGGAGTAGACACCAAGGAGGGTGAGAAAAGTTTCCTTTCTGGATTTTGCTTGATCAAAAATTTCCCTCGACCCTTGTTTATAACCATTTTCCCATCAATATTTTCTCAAGGGACATGTCACTTTCTCATGAGTATCTGTGGGTGTGGATCACTCAAAAATTAGCAAGAAAGAGGCAGGTGATAACCAGGGCTTTTGGTTTTAGTTTCTGACGTTCCCTTCACTATTTCTGAGAACTGCATGGAGAACATCAACCTGTGTACCTGCCAGGCCGGCACTGCTATTCCCCTCCTGGAAAGAGAGATGAAAAGGGGCCTTTTACCTTACATTTTCTTTTGACTTGGTTTTCTTCATTTTAAATCGGTCCTTTTCTTTTTTGAAGAATCGCTGCAGTCTTTTAAGTGTCTCTTTTCCATCTAAACTAAGAGGAATCAGAGGATATAAATAACATGGCATTTGAGAGAGTCCTAGAGATGGAAGTCTGCTGTATTAAAAAGGATCAGAGGCTTCGGGTCTCATTTCCAAAACACACCCCACTCAAGGAAGAGCAAGAAAATGCCTTATCAACGTCTATGCTTTTCTTCTTTGTTTAGATTCCGATATGTGAAGTAGCACACACCGGTCAACTATGAAGGGAGTAATTACATTTCAATACAAACAGTCTCTATTTGGCAGAGTTTATGGAGCAAAATCTTCTCAGGGAAGCATAGTTTACAAACTGTACTAGAATCACAGGAATTCCTGGCTCCTGAAATTCACGTCACTGTTTCAGTTTAGTGAATAATAGCACCATGGTGACACACCAATTACCAGTTGATATGAAAATTCTTCCAAACATGTTTTGGGGTCTTTGGGGGGAGGGGAAGGGGTGATACACACACACCATCGCCCCAGCATGCCTAGCTCAGGATCCCCTCTTCCCTTCAACCCTCAAACTTCTTGCTTTTGCCCATTGTTGTTTTCCTTTCCACATGTGCTCTTAATAACTCAACCTGAAGAATAATGCCCATTTGAACTAATATTATTCTCAATAACACTGAATTACTAGATATTAAGTTAAGCCCAGATCCCAGAGACAGACTTACTAATTTGCAAAGACACAGGTAAGTCATAACCATTGATTTGTTCCTGGAAAAGCAACTACAGAATTAAAGCAAGTTTTATTGATATTTACTTACTCTGGGACATAGACATTTCTCAAAAGAGAAAGCAATGTGATTTAAAATTTATAGCACATGACTGTACACAATTACAAGGATCCTATTAATCACAATATGGTATTATAATAGCTTACCACCACTCTCTATGTGAATCCTTCCTAAAGAATGATGGTGGATGTAGGGGATCATTTCTTAAACTCTGGATTTAGCAATTTAATGGGAAATATCATTAGCCTACAAAGTCAGGAAAGAGAAACTCACTCTATCTTTGGGTAATTGCTCTTTGTTTTGCAGACATCTTCATACATTTTTTCACTATTTTCTTCTGAAATAAAAAAAAAATTTCATTCATTATAATGATAATAGTTCAGATTCATGTATAACAGAAATTATTAGATACCTGCTAGGTGCAAGGTACCTTGATCTTTCTTTTGTTAAGTAGCTCTTACTGAAACTTATGCATGTTTATACAAGAATACAGTAAAAATGTTTAAGTCTCTATAAAAGTATGTACAAATGAAAATTAAGACTCACTGCTACCCTGATTCCAAGTCTGACCTAATTTAGTCAAAGTAAGTTGGTTTATTGATGGATTTCTTATTTTTACCCTCCATCCTTCCCATATTTATTTTATTTTATTTTATTTTATTTTATTTTGTGACTGGTAAGGGTATCGTAACCCTTGGCTTGGTGTCACCTGCACCACGCTCAGCCAGTGAGTGCACCAGCCATCCCTACATAGGATCCGAACCCACAGCCTCGGTGCTCCCAGCACCGCACTCTCCTGAGTGAGCCATGGGGTCGGCCCATCCTTCCCATATTTAATACATAACAATTGAAGTCTACAAAGCATCAGACATTATGAATGCTGGGAAAACAATAGAAAACCAGACACATCTTGAATACTCTCTCCCTTCATAGCATGGCTTTAGTCTAGTCAATGTGTCGACGTAAGCTTAATACACAGATACATGATTCAATCCTGACAACAGAGTCTAATGGAAAGAACATTAAAGAAAGGATTTTCAGGTTCAAACGTGACTAACACACAATGAACTTAGAGGGGTCACTTTAACTTCTCTGTACCTCAGTTTCCTTTACAAAATGAGGGTACTGGGTTTAATGATCCATTAGATGGTTTTTCCATCTAAAATTCTGGGATTCTAAGAAGGACAAAACCAACCAGAGTAACATTTGATTATCCCTCCTCCATTACTTTTTCTTTTTTGAAGTTTATTATTTTTTAATTGACAAAAATTATATATATTTATGATGTTTAACATGTTTTGATAATTGTGTGCCTTGTGAAATGACTAAATCAAGTTTTTTTGTGTATGTGTGGTGAGAACCTTCAAAATCTACTTACTCAGCAATTTTCAAGTATATCATCAATTGTTATTAACTACAATCTCCACATTGTACAAGAAATCTCCTGAACTTATTCCTCCTAACTGAAATTCTGTATCCTTTGGCCAGCAACTTCCCATTACTATTTCATTCATTCATTCAACATACATCTTAAAAACTATCTCACATGTGCCCGGCATTATGCTAAGGGCTAGAAAAAATGGTAAGCATAAGGAAGGTAATAATCTAGAAGAAAAGACAGTTATTCATCAAAGGATCACATAAATATAAAATTATAATAATGACAAGTGCTATGAAAAAGTGGTTCATGGTACAATGAGATTGTAAATCAAGAAGAATATTCCTTAGGGTAATAATGATTGAGCTGAGATCAGAAGATAGACTAAGGGTCAGTGAGGCAAAGGGGTCCAGGAGAGGAAGGAGCACTTCAGGAAGAGGGAGCAGCAAACACCCTGTGATGGCAGCTGGACAACTCACAGCAGCTAACACAGAAACACTCTGCAATTCCTACTGGCAGTTTCAGAAATGTCTTCCTGTTCTTACCACTATCAGAGGCAAGTGAGTCAGACAAGTCCAACTGTGGTCTGTGGGAGGAAAGATACAAAGATCATTAGCTTGTTGTATCGTAACTTTAAAGCCTCATCACGTTCTACTGGCTGAAAGGCTGGAATGTACTTACACCTCTTTCCTGGGGCACTGGACATCATCATATGTCTCCTCTGAAAAGGAAACTGGCTTCAAAGCCCTTGCATCTGGGATTCCTTTAGTCACCTCCAAAGCCTCCACATATCCATCTGAAAGGAAAACAGAAAACCCCCTTAAAGAACATCACATCAGCTGCTATCACAGATGCATTCAAGTACATCGCTGGTAATGCAGGCAAGAACAGGAAAAGGCAGATGAAATGTACTAGAACTGGAACATAATCTTAGTATATATGATCCCTGGACAGTTCACTTCATTTGCAGAAACTTAGTTATGATTCTCTGAGGTTGGGGATAATGATAACACCTATTATGTGATTGTGGCAAGGACTAAGTACATATTTTTTTTTCGTTAAATTTTTATTTTGTCAATATACAATGTATATGATTATTATGGCCCATCAGGGTGCTGGCTCCCTAGTAAACCCAAACTCTTCCCTCTTTGAGGGTTCTTCCTTTAATCCCTGACCTTAAATGCTGAAGTTCTCCAGGGTACAGCCCTGAGGTGCTTCCCTCTACATCTAGGTGACTGTATCCAGTCTTACGGCATTTTTTTCTTAATGCAAAATTTCTTAAACAAGTTGACTGAACACATGTCAACATTTATTATTCATTAATGACAGAATTAGTCAGAGGACAATGTGCCATGCTTAAAAAATATATGGGGATTGTTTGTGCAAGTAACTAGCCTACTAAATTTAAATGTGGGTGCTGCTTTACTTCTTAGACCTGTAAACTTGTCATAACCAGTAACCTGTCACCTCTTTATCAGTCGACATAGGTTAAACAATTACGGTCTGGGTTTCTCAGAACCATTTTTAGACATGAACTATTAATCAGAAATAAGTAATAGAGCTGAGAAATAAATAATAAGCAAATTGACTTGTGTCTATTAATTAAACAGATGAAGCAACAAGATTTTATCCTCTGACAAGAAGTCAATTAGCATGTAGACCCCAAACCATCTCAATGAATGTTTGCTCCCAGAGGCTTTTTCTCTTGGAGTTATTGATAAATTTCTCCAGCACGAAACAAAGATGCTGAACACACAGTTGCTTAATTCTTGGTTCAGTACTTTTTTTTTTTTTCTTAATCCTTCCTTTTGACTGAGGCAAAATAAAAAGTTTATGACTTCATTTTAAAAACACAACTTTTAAATTTGCACCTCCAATTTAGACATTTCTCATGAATTCCAGATACTCCATCAGCCTTCACATCATTTCCCTTTGGTTGTCTAAACATATATTCCAGACCAAACTCATGATTTCTTTCTGCAAATTTGCTCTTCCTAAAGTCTACCCCATTTCAGTAAAAAGTGGCAATTCCATCCTTTCTGTTGCTCAGGCCTCAAATCATGGAGACATCCTTGATTTTCATATTCCATCTTCAATCCACAGCCGTCTGCGCTACTTTCAAGCCATGCCCTGAATCCAAACACATTTCAACAACTCTATCATGGTACCCTTCTCCAAGCCACCATCATCTCTTACCTAAATTATTGCAATAACCTCCTAACAGGTTTCCCTGATTTATCCTATATTCTATTTTCAAGACAGTAGCCAGATCATTCTTTAAAATGCAAGCCAGGTTGTGTTGTAGATTTCATTTGCGTTTCCCTGAGAGTTAATGAAGTTGAGCTTTCATAGTGTATTTACCTTTTGGATATCCTCTTTGGTGATGTGCCTGTTCAATATTTACCCAATTTCCCTTTCTTTCTTTTTTTTCTGATTTATTTCTATTTTATATTTTCTAAATACAAAAATGTTTGTAGAAGAGCTATATATTCCATATATGAGTCCTCTGTCAAATATATGCACACACACATATATATAATGCACAAATCTTCTCCCACTCTGAGACTTGCCTTTTCACTCTGCTAATTGTATCTTTGGATAAATATATCCTAGCTCTTCTAATTCTTTTAAGTCTCAAGCAAATTAATATTGTTACTCTTCATTCCAAACTATTAAAAACCTTAGAATGCTTTAATTACCTTCCCGACATATGTGCTATGATCAATATTTTAGCCCCCCCCCCAATTTGACATTATTATTGTTTTATTTAGTTGATACTTTTGCTCACCCTTCTTTCTTTCATCAAAAACTTTCCTTCTGGAATTGTCATTCTTCTGCCTGAAGTATGTGCTTTAGAATTTCCTTCAGTGCATTTCATTTGGTCAGTAACATATCACAACTTTTATTTGTTAGAAAATATCTTATTTTTTTTCTTCATTCTTGAAAGGCATTTTCGCTAGACATAAATTTCTAGGTAGACATTTAATATCTTTCAGCAGGATTGTATTCTGGTTACATACTGTTGTTGAGAACTTAGCAGTCAGAACTCAGTCATTTCTTGGGCTGAGCCTGTGGCGCACTCGGGAGAGTGCAGCGCTGGGAAGCGCTCCCGCCGCAGGTTCAGATCCTATATAGGGATGGCCGGTGCACTCACAGCGCTCACAGCACTCACCGGCTAAGCGCGGTGCAGCCGGTTTCAAAAAGGACAAAAAAAAAAAAAAAAGAACTCAGTCGTTTCTTTATAGGTAATTGGTCTTTTGTCTTTGCTTTTAGCTCGTTTAAGATTTTTTTTTTTTTCAATTAAAGCACAATGACTTAGAGGTACTGTGAACTTTATTACTTAAAGTCAATGTGACACTGTAAAAAGAAAATGGCCTTTGAAGACAGACATTCTTGAGTTAGGCTCTGTGTGGGGGTTTTCATTTTACTTTTTTTTTTAATTGGTTATGAATATCTGTGTGACACAAAGCTGATTGTCACCCCTCATGCCCATGATGTGAGGGCCAGATCCATACTGGCAGCATACCCATTACCACAAATTGCATTTGTACCTCGTGTCCCCCACCCAATTACCCCCAACTTCCCTCTCCCTCCCAAGATATTCTCTTATTCTTTGATGTTCTTCAGTTTCTCTAAGATATGGGTAGGTGTAGATTTCTTTCACTTATCCTCCTTGAGAACATTAGGATTCCTGGATCTGCAAATTTATATCTCTCAACAATTTTGGAAAATTATCTGATATTATCTTTTAAAAAAAAACCATTTTCTTAAATTTATTTAATTGACACATTGTAATTATACATATTTATGGGGTACAATCTGATGTTTTGATACATATAAATGTTGCATAATAATTGAGTCAGGGTAGTTAGTGTAACCATCACCTCATTCATTTATCATTTCTTTGTGGAGAGAGCATTCAAAAGCCTCTCCTTTAGCTACTATGTAACATAGAAAACTTAACTGTTAACCTCTTTTATCTATTATTTCCTCTAATTTGATGTTATTTTAAGACTTCTCACTCTATCCTCCACAACTCTTATCCTCTCTTTCATTCTTTTTATCATTTTCCCCTGTGGAATGAATTTCGGATAGTTTGTCTAGATCTATTTTCTAGTTCACTAATTTCCTCTTCAGCTGTATGTAATCTGATGTGTAATTCACTATATTTTTATATCAGTTTAGCAGTTATTTTTTCTTTTTAAAATCTCTCCTAAATATGTTTATTCCCTGTTCATATTCTTCTATTTTTAAGTTTTTTGGGGGGTGGTGTTGGGGGTTAGCTAACTGGAATGGGGATCTGAATCGTTGACCTCATTGTTATAACACCATGCTCTAACCAACTGAGCTCACCAGCCAGCCCCCATTCGTTTATTTTTAAAACATATTAAATATTTTAGGTTTTGTGTCTAATAATTCTAGTATTTGCAATATCTTAAAGGTTGGTTCTGTTGTCAGTTGTTCTGCTTGTTTTCACTCCCTGTGAGCTATTTCCTTGTGTGTTTAGTTATTTTTGATTGTTAATTTTGAATTTTTAAAAGAATATTATATGGGAATTATTTGAAACCTGGTATAAAAGTATATTCCATCAAAGAGAATTTGTATCTGCTTCTACCAGTTGTTTTGGAGGTCTACCAAGCTAATACTACTTTAGATTAAATTGAGTGTCTTTTGGACCATAGGGATAGTGTGAATTTCAACTGCAGATGTGCAGGAGGATCAGCTTATGGTAACATATCTTTTTCTTTTACCCAGTTCCAGGGTCAAAATGGGCAGATTTCCTTCTGCTCAGTAGAGTTTATGTCTTGTTCTTAAAGTATGGATATAATCCTTCAGGGTTTTAACGTTTTACAGGAGTCTCCTACTGTAAACTCACTTTGGGCAGGCCCTATTCTCTATGCACCATGCAGTCAAACAAGAGCGCAGGAGATTCAGAGCTCAGTGAAAACCCTTAAGGCAAAAGCTAGCTTTGGTATGCAACTCCCAGGTTTCCTGGATACTGAAGATCTGTGCATGCTTTCTTTTTTATATCAATTCTGTAGTACTTTTATGAATGTGTAAAAAATTATTCTTTGCTTTATTTGTTTCAATCAAGAGAATCATTCACATTGTCTAAGCCAGCGTATTCTCAGACACTGAATTTGATTTATTCTTTCATTCCTTCTTTCAACAAAATTTTGTTGTGTTATCTCCAGTGTGCCAGATACTATGCCAGGTTATAGAGATACAGAGATGTATTCTCAGACACTGAATTTGATTTATTCTTTCATTCCTTCTTTCAAAAAATTTTGTTGTGTTATCTCCAGTGTGCCAGATACTATGCCAGGTTATAGAGATACAGAGAAAAATACTAAATGGTCTCTGATCTCAGGGTGCCCAGAGTGTACCATGGGAGATAACACATAAACCATAGATTATGATAAAAGCATGCTACAATTTTGTAAGAAAGAATCATTGAAGAGAACTAACAGTTTTTAACATCTGAACCAGACACTTTATATGCATTGACAAATATCCCTAGGAAATGAGTAGTATTATCATCATTTTCACAAGAAAGTAAGTAAATTTCCCAAGGTTGCAGGGGTATTATATAGTTGTCCTGGATCCCAGAAATGCTTGACTTTTAATTCTAATATAGTAATGTGGTCATACTGTTGCTGGTTAAGTGTCATGGAAACAAAGAAGAGTGAGGAATTATGGTCCCTGGAGAGTAGAAAAAAGGAAGTTGGCTGAAGGTGAGGGAGGTCTCAGAAGAAGTGACTTTGGGGATAGATCCTGAAGGACAGGTAGACACACTGGCAGGTAGAGAGTGGGAATAAAGGCATTCCAGATAGAGAAAAGAGATCAAGAAAAATTAGAGGGTCACTTAAGCACATGACATAGTCAGTAAACTAAGAATAGAGCAGAGTGTGTGAGGAAGCTTTGTGGCACAGACGAGGCCAACTAGGCTGGAGGCAACTTTAAGGGGCCTTGAGTCCATCTTAGGGTCATTGAAAATTTACTCTTCCTACAACTCTGATTGTAACACATTATGATACATCAGTGGCTTGCCATGGCTTATTGGGCTGGAGTGGATATCTGTTTTCTTTGTCTAACATCTACTCCCCCCCCGCCCCCCGATAATAGCCATCTTGTTTTCCCTCAAGAATCCTTCACTCTGAGGGTATGCAGTTTTGGTAGAACTGACTCTACCCCCAGTCCAGGGTTGAGTTTATGACACAGGCTGGGCCAATCAGAGCATATATCTCTTATACTTAACGATTGGTTCAGGAACGGCATGTGACCCAATCAAAGCCAATAAGACTCATATCTTAGTTTTATAACTGTTAGGAAGATAAAAATCTCTAGTACTCCTATGGTGTGCCTAAAAGGATAGGTTGTAAGCTTGTCACTACTGGATACCATCTTGCCTCTAACAGGGCAGAATTTGCTTGAAAATGGAGCCAACCCAGTGGGGAGCAAAGCCAGGAGTAAAAAAAGTGATGCTGAGTCACACACAAGGTGATATTGTTTGTACCCTTGGATCCAGCCATGTCTAGACTTTGTGCCAGCTGAACCTCCTTTTCTTTTTCTGTTGAACACGGTACGATTTGATTTCTGTGGCTTACAATCCAGAGCCCTGACTGACATGAAGACAAGATGCAGCCTACATAGGGTCAATGAGTGACAGCATACCACGTCATCAGTGTGTCAGAGGTGGGGCTGCAAAGACAAAGGGGCTAGTGGACATGGAAGAATAAACATTTGCTGAATACCTGTCATAGGACATACTGCTGGGCTTGGGCCTCATGACAACCTTTTATAAATGAAGAAATCGATTTGCATGAATATGAAGTTTCTTACCCTTTAGCTAATAAATATCAGAGCCTAGACTGAACTCAAGTCCTCTGCTTGCACATCCAGTGCTTTTTCCACCATGATAAGCCACCTCACTAGGGCAGGTTACTTGGCACGTAATAGATGTTCAATAAACATTTTAAAAATAAATTAAAATTTTCTCCATGCTCAGCTTTAAAACAGTGTGGTAATGGTGAAGAGGATCAGGAAGAAATACAACTTACCGTGGCCTTGGGAGTGCCTGGCCAGCCCTGGGCCCTTGGGGCAGGCCTTCATCTGGATGACGTCAATCAGGGCATCCTGCTTCTCGGCCAGCATGCTCCTACTACCTCTGTGGACGTTTGCCATCTGGATTTTTCCAGGTGTCCCCTCATAGGCACCTACCTAAATATATGCAACAGGGAGAGTACTGCAGGGCTCTGATTTATCAGTTCTTTGATTATTCATGCTGTTATTCATTCATTCATTCCTTGTGGGTAACAATTATTATTTAATGCTATCTTACTAGACTCTAAGTTTCATGAGGGCACACAACATGTCCTTCAGTTACCTCTGGAAGGCCAGTGAGTGCCTGGCACAGAGGAGGCAGTCAGGATGTAATGGAGCACCTACTGCACTACGGGGCAGACTCTATATTCCAACTCATTTAATTGTCATGACACCCCTTGTGAAAAATATCATTAGTCCTCTTGGAAAAGGGTTTAGAGAGGTTCAATAACTGGTTTCTGGTTCCACAGTTAGTAATTTACTGAGGTGGGACTGGACCCCAGAGCCCCGTGCTCTTCACCACTAAGGGATGCTGTGTATTCCTTCTCCTGTCCTTTTTGCCTAACGTTTCATCCTTCCACCCATCATTCTCCTATTCCTTTTCACTTCTTTCTGCATTCCCTTCCTCTGGCATTTGCCAAACACTTGCTGAAGGTGAGACAACGTGCTAAGCTCTGGAAGTAGACACATGCAATGGACAGAGTGTCTCGCACACTGGCCATGGAGACAATACACAAAGACAGTGAATTAAGCTATAACGTGATGAGAGTTGTTTACAGCAGTTACTCACTGCCATGGAAACAGAGAGGATGGGGAGGTTGGTTCTCTTAGCTGGGCAATAGAATCAGGGAAGGCTTCAAAAACAGGTTTCATTAAACCATATTTTTTAAAGTATAAGTGCAAGATTGATCTTGGGGATGAAGAAATACCTGGCAGATAAATCAGTGGGATCACAGACATGGAGTACTTGGAGGAGTGTTAGTGTCTGAGTAAGGGTAGCATGGAGGCTGCTGATGAGGGAGGAGTTGAAGGAAAAGGGGGAAGACACAGGGAGGAAAGTCTGGAGATGAGGCTGGAAAGATAAAAGTGAATGGGGCTGAGTTATGAGGGGTCTTGCATGTAAGGCAAAGAATTTGGGCTTCATTTCTTAATCATGGGGAGCCCGGCAGGGAGAAAACTCTATCACATTTACATTTCAGAAAGATCTGGATAGACTGATAGGTAGAGACACTGGAGAGAGAAGAATTAGAACATTTTTGGCTGTCTAAGTGTTTTCTAATTGTCAAATGAAAACGAGAGAAGGGTTACTGTCCTTCCCACCAGAGCAGAGTGGACGTAAGTGTTAGCCGTGATAACACATTTGAAAGTACTTGGCAAAAGCTACTGTAATGAATATACATCAGGCATGGATTATCCTGAGTTTGTGGTGGGATCTTAGGCAAACTGTCAGGAGAATAAGAGTAGGGGCATTCTTTTAAGTCACATAGCCAACCATACATTTTTTGAGTGGGGAAAAATGACAAGCAAGTAATGAAGTCAATGTTCTACACAAATAAAGTGATAACTATCCTTCAATGTAGTCCTCTAATGGATGCAGTCCCCCCACTCACCTACATATCCCAGATAACTTTTAATAATGTCCAATACTGAAACCCACTGCATAAAGGAGGGAAGTGACCTTTTGGTGGTAGTCTGACTCAATGCCTGGCTGTCATATAGACAGCACTGAACCAGAGCAGAGCCCTGCTTTTTTATGGTCAGATTTCTTAGCCATGCTTCTCTACTGCCTTTCACTTATGCTCCTATCAACCCCTTCCTGATCTCTAGCCTCAACACCTATTTATGGCCTTGTCCCTCCCCTCTGGCTTTGACACCTGAAGATGCTGTCCTGGCTCTGGACCTTGTCTTTCCTATTTAGTGACTTACTCCATCCTTTAAATTATGCTGCTTCATGATACTCTGTAAACAGCCAACATGGTCCAGCCTGGCCTCTGGGCCTACAGACTAGTTCAGGCCCACATCACCAACATGCTTTTTGATTTACCCCATCCCTGCAGATGAAACTGGGACAATCTGATGTTAAAAGATAGACACATCTCAAGCAGGTATCTAGAATGTTTGGAGCATTGGTATCTATTGTTTAAGCCTTTCACCCACTAACTGTGAAAGGGACAGTGCCAACCACATATGGATATACACACACATTCACAGTGTTTAATATTAATAAAAACAACAAGAACACATTTCACTTTTATGGTGGCTTACAGCTTACAAAGCACCTTCATATATATTATTTCATTTTATCATCACAGACAGGGTACAATTGGGATGGCAGTTGGGTAGGGATTATCTATTCTTATTTTACAGACAAGATGATCAAGCTTAGAATTAAAGGTGTTCTTCTAAGCAGGGCCTTTGGGCACAAAATTTGAGGAGGCCCTCACTGCAGAGACTTGCAAGTGCAGGGACGGCACCTGAGAGTGAGCTCTTCTTCATATTTGCATCCTGGGTGCCTTGATGAACTTACCCTCATCCCAGCCCTGTTTCTAAGGCATGCTACGTGGCTCATACATGGAAAATTGGGGGCTAGAGCTCAGTGTTTCTGTCACATTCTTGATAAATGCCCAACACCCATTGCATCTTCTGACTGTCTCTCTGGAGAGATGTATGTCTCAGCCTCTAAAATGTCACCCCCATCAACCGATCCTGTCACGTGTCTAAGCTGTACCACTTGGCCAGGATCCCTAGAACACAGATACCTTGAAAGGATGGTTTGAATGTGGACCCTTTTCTGTTTTTTGAGGTTCCAGTTCACATGGCTCTTTTTCCTTATTCTTATCTTCATCCACATGTTTGGGGCTAAAATGTGAAGACATATTGGGGAAAGTGAAGCTTAGAGTGTTTAGATGACAGTGCACTGCTCAATCCTAAAGGAAATGAATGGAGAAAATGAAGTTAAATAGACATGAAACTTTTTTTTAAAAGGGGACCAGGAACCGATCATATAGGTAGCTTCTCTGAATTTCTGCATGCTCCAATCAGTGCCAGAGTAGCAATTCCTGCTTAAAATCTTCTAGTTCCCTATTGCCTATAGGGTAGAATCTAAGGCTTCTAGTGATCTGGCTCCTACCTTTCATTCCAACCCCATTTTCCTCTGGTTCTTCCCTCCACTTTTGCTGGAATCTAGACCCTCATAATTCCCCAATCTTACCACTCTATTTGACCAACTCTCCCTTTTTATTAGCTATTTCCTTTGTCAGACATGCCTTCTACATCTTATATTGCTGGCAAATACAACACCCTTCACAATGGTCTAAATCATCTTACCTTTGAGAATCCTTCCCTGAGTCTCCCAGTCATACCTTCTCTGTCCCTCTAACACTTTGGACTTCTATGTTGTATTATAGTTTGCCTGTCTATGGGTCTATCTCCAGTTCCTCCTCTTTGTCTTGTAAATTACCTGAAAGTCAAGTTATAAAGGGGCAGAACTCTCTGATTCACATATGTATCTCTAGCACTACTAATGCTGTGTAATCCATGGTAGGAACCACCATGTTTCCTGGCACAGGGTGGTACTCACCCAGGATTCCCTAATGAAATGAATGACTGGCCTACACTGTATGTAGATAACAGCTGCAGTGGAGGAGCCTTTGAGAGAGTCAAGATGGAGAGAGCAATGTAAAAAGCAAAATCCAAGGACAGAATGACGGGGAACGTCAACATTCACGTGAGAACCTTGCTTCTGGCACTGTAAGAGCCGGGTGGTCCTACGATCCTTCTGCTACCACATCTACACAGGAGGCAGAGAGAGAAGAGCCCTCAAAGAAAATCAGAAGAGGTGGTCAGGGAGAAAGAGAAACACTAGGTGAGAGTGTTGTTCTGTAACAGAAAAGAAAGAGTTTTAAGGAGCTTCATTCATTCATCCAATTTCTGAGCACTCCTGTCCAGCATTAAGGCCGAGACCAGTTCTGTGATGAACAGGAGCTGCAGAGTGAGGGCTGGGCTCCAATCCCCACTCTACCTCTTTCTCAAAGTCTGCAATGAACCTCTCCAAAGATCAAAATTTCTCATATTTATATATGAAAGTTTACAATTTCCATGTTTGTCACGAGAATAAAATGTGATAAAAATGTTGAAAGCCAAGCATTGTGCATTGCATGTAACAGACCCCCAGTAATCGTTGGTGTCCTTTTCTATCAAGACACTTGCGGAGTTAGAATTACCCAGTTCTTAGGTTCCCAGAACACATGGCTGATATCTCTCCTGGTATATTCACCTGCCCTTGTTGGTGTGCATGTCCTTTGTAATCCATCTTCTTATCCTCCAACTCCTGACCAGTAGTTTCTACACAGCTGGACCTTCATAAATAACTATTACATTAAATTTATATTGTGACTTCTAGGAATACTGTGGAGGAGGGGGATAAATTGTCTCTGCTTTAAACCACTTTTGTGACTCTCCCTGGCCTATAGGATAAAGTCTAAATTTGTGCCATCCAGTACAGTGGCCATTGGCCTCATGTAGCTATTGGACATTTGAAATGTGTCTGGTCCAAATTGAGCTGTTAAGTGTAAATACACCTGGCTGTTGAAGAGTTGGTGTGGAAAAAAAAGAGACTATAAAACACCTCATTAATAATTTTTATATTATTACATGATGAAATGATAATATTTTGGATATATTGGGTTAAATAAAATTCATTATTAAAATTAATTTCACCTTTTTCTTTCTAGTTTTGAAAATTTTTAAACAACAGATGTGGTTTATATGATATTTCTCTTGGGCAGTGCTGGTCTAAATGATTAATTAGGGAGTGCAGACCCTCCTGGATCCAGCTCTGCCTACTCCCCTAGTTCCTGCTGCTCTCACGCTGCACTTTAAGCTCAAGTGATGTCAAACTGTTTGTAGATTCCTGCACCTCACTGTTTAATACTGCGTGTCCACTCACACCTTTCCTTGTGCCTGGAGCACATGTTCCACCATTTCCCCCTGGCCAATTCCTACCCTCTGTCAAGATTCAACTCAGTTATCACCTTCAAGGAAGTGCTCCTAGAGCCTCAAGGCCAGTTTTTGTGCCTCACCTCTGTATTTTTACAGTTTTCATAGCAATGATCATGTTATACTGTAATTTCCTATTTATTTGGTCATCTTCCCCTCTAAGTAATTCTCCACTGCCAACAATCAACTTTCACTCCTATCTCTTATCAAGGATCGGGAATATATTCTTTCTGTTCACTTTGTATGTCAGAATCTAGCAGCATCTGAATAGAGAAGCTCATAAATGTTGAAATAAATAATTAATCATTTGACGTGTGCATACCACATGCCCAGCATTGTACTAGTACTAAAGGGTCAATTATGAGGGTCATGAATTTAGAGTCAGGCAGGAATTCAAGGAGAGAAATGAAGGTAGCCCACCCAGCTACAGCAAAGTTTCCCCATGATTCAGCACTTGTATTTTTAGCCTCAACCAGGGAATTTTGATCCTTGCTTCTCCAGAGCTCATCAACCACATTTCTTCTAATGCATTAAAATATATCCAGGGGAGGAATGATAGAAGCAGACCCTGAGGAGGTGGATAACAGCACTGCTAGGTGTTAGGGCACTACTCTGGACCCAGGAAGTATGGGAGGCACCAGCAACACCAAGAACAATACAACATGGGCCCTGCCCACAGGAGCTCCCAGACTAGAAGCGGGTGAGGAGGTGGAGGATGAACTGCATGTCAGCAAACAAACTACGTATAATGCTATTAATGCAAACACATGTGTATGTTACAGAGGTACCATGGGCAAGGGATTGGTTAATTCTGTCTGAGGGAGGGGAATTAAGGAAGGCTTCTTACAAGAAGGAATGCTTGATAGATCAGTAGACGTTTGCCAGATTGTTAAGTTTGGTGAATTAATGAATTAAACAAGCAAAAGCAAAGAGACTTAGAACAGCATGCTGCATTTTGGAAATTGTAAGTTCTTTGGGATTCACATGATGATTATTTGCCTGTTTGGTTGTGTGGTTCTCCCACTAATCAGGAGCTCCTGGGGCCAGTAGCTAGGTCTCCATCACCACTACAGCCGCAGTGGTGAGCAAATGCCTGGTACATGTGGGGTGCTCAGCAAGTGCTTGCTGAGTGAGTGCAGTGTGGGCTAGAAGGAAGCAAGAGAAGAAGGCAGGGCAGGGGCACGGATTACTTTCTCTATACCAGGCATCTTGCAAGGTGCTGGGGAAACTGAGCCAGGTCAGACACTGGAAACACAGTCTGCCCATAGCGAAAACTAGTTTAGTCACCAGAGGCTCAGTGGTTGGACTAATGTTTTACCTCTTAGAGCTAAAACTCACCTAAGTCCTTGATGGAGAAAATTCTTCCAAGGCTGAAAGGAAAGAGGAAATGGTCATTTTCATAAATCAGCCCAAACCAGGCTCTGTTGTTTGGTTACACATCATTAAAGACTAGACCAAAAGGTGAGGGGGCGGTGAGGTCTTAGTACAGAGCAAAGGCAGACGCCGACAACAGAATGTTCTATGAACTGTTGCCAGTGGGGCTGAAGATCAATCAGAAAGGAAAACAAGCATTCCTGAAGTTACGGTGTCGGCCAGAGGGAATGTATGATGGGATTTAGAAACGTAAATTGTTCTCTGCATGTCTTCCCAGGAATGCATCTGTAGAATAAAGAACTTCTAAATCATATGAGGAAATGTGAATTTGTGGTATTTGAGCAATGTCTCAGTGGGCAAAATTGGTATAGGCCAGTGTGTAAGCAATGTTGGGATGTCCCCTTTCCTCACTGGTCATGTACTCTCTGTTCAACACTCAGCTCTTGCATCATGTAGATTGAGCTCCATTAAAATGATTTCCCAATGACCACAATAGAGCTCCTCATTTATTCAGTGGTCACATATCTGATGCCATTCCTTGTTTGGAATCTAGCCAAGAACCTTGAAGAAAACAGAAAATACCTAAGCATCCAAAATGCTGCCACAAAAATCCAGGTATGATAGTTTATACACTCTCCTTTGGGGAGAGCCTGCAGGCCTCCATTCAGAGACTGTGGTTTCTTATTTTACATATAAAGCAAATTAGTTGCAGCACTGGTAGAATGACAAGTTAGACAGACCTTGTTTTACATCTCTGCTACAATACTTACAGGTTACTCAACCTCTCTTAGCCTCTATGTTCTCATCTGTAAGATGGAAGCATTGATACCAGCTTGCAGAGTAATTGTGAGGATTAAGTGCTACTGGGTACCCACAAGTGCCCAGCACAGAACAGGGACTTGGTACATGCTTGCCCACATGAAAGACTCACTGATAGATGCAAAGATACTGACAGTAGAAACAAAAAGGAATTGTTACAAAAGAGAAAACAATTACAATAAACAGACTTGTGGTGGTTTGATGTGAAAGCAATTAGCTCTTCTACAGGGTCCAAGAGCATCTTACAAGAAGAGCATAAACTATGCCCACTCAGTCCCTTAGATTCAAGAATACTCCAAATCATTAAGAAAGAATGGAATCAGATACCACCCACCGAGCTTAAAAATACAGAGATGAACACAAAACATGTCTGAGGGTTAAAATATTTCAAAATCAAAAACGCTTTCATAATTTTTTTACTTGAATGGTATAAAATTTGATTATTTGGAGAGTTCACTTGTGCTGAATAGTTTATTATTTGCCGGTGTTGTCTGGTAAGTGAAGCATTTTAATAGACTGTTTCTACTCCCCTTAATAGGAATAATAATCATTTGTATTTTTCTAGCTTCAAAGTGTATCCACAAATGAATAATCCTTACCAGCAAGCATAAGAAAACTGAAGCAGAGAGATGAAGGATCTATACTAAATGTACCCAGTGAAAAAAGAGTAGAAACTTAACTGACACTGTTAAGATATTGCTAAGTGCCAACCGTGTGCCGGATACTGCACTTAGGTGCTTACATACTTAGTCTGACTTAATTCTCTCAGCAATTCAGTGAATTAAGTATTGGGCCCCTTATTTACTGAGCATCTATTACAGAAGATACAGCTTCCTGTCCTCAGGAAGAATACACCATTTTACAGAGGACACACTGAAGCTCAGAGAGGTGAAATACTCTGTTCTAGGCTAATAAATTGTTTACCTTCATTTACCTTATTTTCATTCTCACAAGGACCCCCAGGTGGGGGTGCTTTATTATCCCCATTTTATAGGCGAGGAAATGGAGACTCAAAGTCATGTGGCCAGGAGCTGGGATGGAGGCCTGCAGTGATTCTGCTTGGGTCCTAATCAAGTTGCTGTATTGCTTCCAAAGTGGCCCCTAGCACCACACCCAGCAGGAGTCCAGAAATTATGCCTTAAATTTTCTGATTATTTTCTTGAAAGTACAGGGTTTACAAATTTGAATTGTGCCAAAGGACTTGTCTGTCTGAAAGGCACAGTTATTAAAAGCCAGTTGGAGCTGGCCGCCTTAGATAAGGGGCTAGGAATGGATTAAGACCACCTCCTCCTATACCATCACATATTTTCTGTGTCTGATGTTACAGGGCTCAGCATTCAGAATTTAAGCAGCTGGAGTCTAAAAAAGACTTAGAAATAGAAAACCAAATACAAAAAAAAACAACAACAACAAAAAAAACAAATCAAAAACCTTTCCTCCCTCATAAAAGAAACACCTTTAGAATCAACCTTATGTACTTGTTTAACTTTTAGTTATTATGGTGGTAAGGAGAGAGGAAACAATACCTTTTGGAAGTCTTTGATTTCAACTTCGTAAGTCGCTAAAACAAACATAAAAAAATTATGTCAGAGCAATTTATCCACCCATTTCTTACAGTACCCAGGATTAAAGCAATTCCAAAAGACTTCAGGGTTCAGTTTTCTCAGTCTCAGAACGTTGATCTGTGCAAGGCTCAGTGTGCATGGTGTGGGAAAGCACAGGGTCACTGATTACAGTTTTCGTTTCTGTGGGAAGTCCCAGGATGAAATTTATGGTCAATGAAAACATACAATACCATTTTCAGTTTCCTATTTTGAGAAATAGATACATACTCCATGCTTAAGATAAAGCACTGAAATTTAGTGGTAGCAATGAGAAGGCAGACTAGGAAGAAAAGAGGAAAAAAACAAAAAGGGCTAACAAATCCTAATTTCCACTTCAACAAAATGAATGCCACATCATGTCCCTAAGTGTCTTTGCTCCATAAGCGTTTTATATCCTTAAATATAGCTTGAAAAGAGGAGCCCACCTACTAGGGCTCAAATACATTTTGATTTTTCCAATAGTTCTAAGGATTTTATTTAATGACGTGATACCAAACTTAATTATTAGTATAAGTAGTAGCAAGGATTTGGGTTCAAATCCTAGTCATGCCATTTCCCGCCTGGGGGATTTCAGACAAATTAATTCATTTCTCCGAGCCACAGGTTCATCTGTGAAACTGGGCCAGTTGGTACCTGTCTTAACAGAGTTACTGGGGAGATTAGAGGAGATGATGTAATATGCCTAGAAGAGCACCAAACATTGTATAGAAAGTGGCTTGTTTTTTGATAAAATATCTTATTTGGTTATTCTTCGCTTCAAAGTTATTTATACAAGCTTTCACCCTACTGTTGATGAATATGTTTGCATCATAAGTGGGGCTCCTCCCTGCTTCTTTTCTCTTTCTCGCAGTTAGGGTCCTAAAGCTTTAGTTCAGAAAACTGACCAAACAACATGCTGCATTTCTAAGATCTTATTATTCTAAACATACAGTACATTGATAAAATAAATGAGATCCTACTAGGTCTTCTTTAAGGATCGGTCCCACTTGATTGTTGACACAGACATAAAATTCTGCATGGATGATTAATAATATATACTTCAACTTGGGTAATTGTACACTTTTATTTTCACTGATTTTTGAATGTAAACATTTTATTCAGCTATTCCTTGCTTTAAAAACTTTGTTAGCCATTGATACTTAAAAAAAAAAAAAAAAAATCTGTTTGGGGGCCGGCCCGGTGGCGCACTGCTACAGTGCGCAGCTTGAGAGTGCGGCGGCGCTCCCGCCAAGGGTTCGGATCCCACATGCAGACCGGCCGCTCACTGGCTGAGCGAGGTGCGGGCGCAACACCGAGGGTTGCGATCCCGTTGCCGGTCCCGGTCCGGTACGGGTGCGACACTGAGGGTTGCGGTCCGTTGCCGGTCACGAAAAAAGACAAAAAGGAAAAAAAATAAAAAAATAAAATCTGTTTGTGATGCAGTTTCCACCATATCCATTCCTACTATGGATTTGTTTTCCAATTTTAAAAGTGATAATCTTCTCCTCCCCTCCTCCAATTTATTTTCTTGTTTGTGTTTTTCAAAGAACTAACAAATCGTAATCCAATTTCCTTCTCCTAGCCCCCTGTGGGGTTAATGAGATTATCACATGTTCAGTCTTAGAAGCAACAAAACCAAGGCTCAGACAGGCCTTACTTGCCATGGCTAGTAAACAAGGATAACACACATTCAATCAATAATGGATTCCTAATGTTGACGCTGCTTTTTAACACAATGGAGGTTCTGCAATGGTAAGCTCTGCTACCAAAACTTACTCCAGGGTGGGGATATAAAGTATGTAGGGCTGCATCCCAAGAGGTCAGGAAGGGAACAAGAATGTGGCCCATAGGATTGGAGTCCTTGCTTACTTTCTATACAGTTATATAACTCTCTCTCCACTGAATAGCTCTGCCATGGCTGGCAGAAGAAGGACATGTACCAGAAGATGGTCCTCAGCAATCCCACAGCTGCTAGTGTCATAACATGGTCATGTCTTGGAGGCCCTCTGCTCTTTCTCTATGTACTAATTCCCTGTGTGACCTTGGAAAAGTCTCCTCTTTTATGCCAGGAGGTGAGAGGACCATTACTAATATTATAAAAATAATAATAAAAAGCAGCTAACATTTCTTATAGATAGCAGGCTCTATGTAAGTGTTTAAATGCATTATTTAAATGCACTTAATTCTCGTGATAATCACTACTAATATTCCAATTTTACTGATGAAGAAACAGACATACAGAGAAGTGAAGTAACTTGCTCAAGGTTAGTCAGTTAGGAAATGACTTTCAAACTTTCTTTCAACCATGAATTCATTCACTTACACAAAATATTACACAGGGACATGAACAGAACTTCTCTGTTTGAAGGTACCCTCAGGGTCTCTAAGACCTCTCAAGAAATCCTTGGGGCCTAAGAAGTAGCCTGAAAAGCACTAATCTAGATGACCTCTAACGATAATTCTGCAGAGCTTCCAGAACATCCTGAATCCTGCATACCCAACGCCAAGTTCTGTAGAAAACGGAGAAACCTCACAAAGACACCTGGGCTGAGCTATGCACCCCAAGGGGATGGTCTTCCCTGTTTTCTTGGCATTGTGCAAGGGACAGAATCACCCAATGGTGACATTAAAGCCAACTGCCTAATCCTCTCCCTCCTTCTTTTCTGTCCTCCTTCCCTCTCTCCCTGTTAGGCATTATTTAGATTCCTCACCTTGATGGGCAAAGGAAGGGAAAATAATCCATTTTAAGTTAACTTTTGTATAAGGTGTGAGTTAAAGTTTATTTTAACCTATTGATATTCAGTTGTTCCAACACCCTTTGTTAAAAGGCTATCTTTCCTCTATTGAATGCTTTTGTATCTTCATTTAAAAAATCAGTTGGCCATATTTGTATAGGTCTATTTCTGGATTCTCAATTCTGCTCCATTGTTCTCTCTCTCTTTGCCAGTATCACAGTTTTGATTACTGTAGCTGTAAGTCTTGAAATTAGATAGATTGATACCTCCTACTTTTTCTTTTTCAAAATTGTGTTTAGCTATTCTAGTTTCCTTGCCTTTCCATATGCATTTTAGAAAAGTCTTGTCTATATCTACAAATAAATAAATCTTCCTGGGATTTTTACAGGAGTTGTACTAAACCTGTATATCACTTAGGGAGAATTGACATTTTTACTGTCAATTTTATTGTATTGAGTCTTCCAATCCACAAACACAGTATGTCTCTCTACTTATTTAGATTTTCTTAGGTTAACTTAATCAGTATTTTATAGTTTTCAGAATTTAAGTCTCGTACATGCTTTGTTAGACTTAAGTCTAAGTATTTCTCTTTTTTGAGTGACTGTAAATAGTATTGTATGTTTCTGTTTTAGTGTCCAGGTGTACATTGCTAGTATATAAAAATACAAATAATTTTTTTGTATGTTTATTTTGTATCCTGCAACCCCAATGAACTCATTTAGGAGGGTTTTCTCTGTGTGTGTGTGTGTGTGTGTGTGTGTTAATTCTTTAGGAACTTTTACTTAGACAATCATGTCACTGAAAACAAATACAGTTTTATTTCTTCCTTTTGATTCGTATGCCTTTTATTTCCTTTGTTTGCCTTACTGCACTGGCTAGAATTCCAGCACTATGTTGAACAGGCATGATAAGAGTCAGTGCTGATGAAGACTGCAGTTATTCTCAGCAAGCCAACACTGTGGATGTCTCTAATGGTGTCAAGGGTTGTTGGGGTCTTCAGTGGTGATGGCTGCTAAGGTTCTCCTGATCTTCCCCTCCCATTGGGAAAGTTGTGGTGAGGGGGGGTCCCTCTTGGCACTGGGTCTGGCCTGTAGACTTCTTCACAGTGGCAGCTGCATGGAGCAGCCACAAAGCTGAGGCTTGAAGCACAAGTACGCATGGAGAGATTTTGGCCCTGGGGTCTGCGGCAGTAATGGCACTGGTTCCAAGTAACAGTATGTGAGGTACAGATGCTTGTGAAGTCGTCAGGGAGCCAAGAACAGGAGCACAGATGTGCGCAGAGTTACAGCGGCTCCAGATCAGGGGAAGATGGGGAAAAAAGCATGACTGAAGAAGTACTTGATGACACAGTGACTGAACACTTCCCAAATTTGGCAAAAGACATAAAATGACAGATTCAAGAAGCCAAGCAAACCCAAAACAGGATAAACACAATCCATATGAAGAAACATAATGAAACTTCTGAAAAATAAAGACAAAGAAAAAATCTTGAAAGCAGTGAGAGAAAAATGACACATTACTTATAGGGGAAAACTCTTCAGATGACAATGGATTTCTTATCAGAAACCATGAAAGCCAGAAGTAAGTGGCACATTTTTCAAGTGTTAAAACTATTAACTCAGAATCCTATTGCCAGTGAAAATATCCTTCAAGAATGAAGGGGAAACAAGACAGACACTCTCAGATGAAAAAAAACTAAGAAAATTTGTTCTAACCAACCTATCTTGAACAATGTCTAAAGGAAGTTTTCTAAGCAGAAAAGAAATGATAAACTTGGAACACAAGTATGGAAGAAAGAACAATGAAAAGAGTAAAATATGAGTAAATGCAACACATTCTTCTTCTCTCAAGTTTCTTAAATTGTGTTTGATGGTAGAAGCAAAAATTTATAACACTGTCTAACATCATACTAAATATATGTAAAGGAAATATTTAAGACAATTATATTATAAGGGGAAGTTAAAGGGAAATAAATGGAAATAAGGTTTCTACGTTTCACTTGAACTGATAAAATGTGCATACCAGTAAACTGTGATAAGTTATGTATATATAATTCCTAGAGTGACCACTAAAAAAGCTATACAATGCGATGTAATAAAAAACGACTATAGATAAATTGAAAAGAATCTGAAAAATATTCAAGTAACCCATGGAAAGGCAGAAAGTATATTAAAAAACAAACAAACAAACAAAAAAACCAAGGAAAAAGAGCAAACAAAAAATAAATGGCTGACAAACCTTTA